TTTCACTTATGGTAAATTAAATTTTAATAATCTTACCTCAACCCTGAGGAAAAGCAACTCAGGTATTTAAAAGTTTAACAAGGGGTACTATTCTTAAGCTGTGATTCATGTAATTGATTAAATACATAAAGGTAATTTTTCATCACTGGTTATGTAAAATACTGTCTTCTACTTATCTTCTGGAATTAACACCAGAAATCTTTGCCCATCTTCTTACTGGTAAGAGGAGACATGTAAGCAAAACTAGGTAAAACAATGAAACATATCTGTACAGGATCAGGATTGGCAGAGCTAAGAAAAGAGAAAAATGCAAAGCAAAACAGAACACAAGACAGAGTTTGTATATACTAAGTGAGCATACTGAGTCAGAAGAGAAACAAATGTTTCAAATATGTCTCAAAAATCTACATTTACAGATTTGATAGTGTAAATTTAGAACCACACTTTCTTCTTATAACTTCAAAAAGTTGACCAAGACTAACCACATATAATGACTGAGTCAGCATATTTATTAAATTGGCAGAGGAAAACAAGTAACCATTTTCACAGTATCAGTTTGTTGTTTTAGTTCATGATCTTTACCTCCAACCCAAAAGGCAATTCACTGATACAATGAGACTGTGAGGAATCATTTAATTCCCTGGTAGCCCCCAGATATGTTCCAGAGGAAAACTTTCCTGTCTTTACAGATTTCAGTTATCCACTCCTGACTCCTACCAATCTATAAGTGCTTTGTAAACATTTTAGTCATTGAGTGGGTAAAAATAGCATGTTTAGTATTTTATATAAAATACTAGTAAATCCAAAATAACCGTAAGGCAGTATTCTTATATTAAAAGCTTTAATATATCTGTCAAATTAAGTATACAAAGAATGAGATCACCAAAACAGCTTCATTTAATGATTTGTTTCTTTGAAAGATAAGGGAATTTTTTGACTCCCTGCTGCTAGATTATTAGTTATCATTTTCTAAGTTTAATCAACTTAAAGACCTTATAGCATGTGTATCTTAAAGATAAATATATTAACAGATGTATATTTAAAATATATTAATAGTTAAATGCTGCTTAGAAGGTCGAAAAAAAGAAAAAGAGAACATCGAAACCTTTCTTTTGTGCTCCAGTTGGAAGGAGTTATTACTTGGGCCAAGTAGTAACTTGGCCAAGGACTTCCACAGTAAAAGAAAAAGAAATTCATCTAAGAAGTAAAGTCTCAGTAGACAATCATATAGGTGAAACTATTTAGGTATCAAATATAAAACTCACTGATAACTACACTAAGAAATATTAGAAAATCATCAAAAAAATAAGTTAATGAGTGTGTAAAAAATTAACTCGTAGAAAGCTAGTACAGTAATCAAGATTACTGGGTAATCGCATCCCGTGAGAATGGTCTACTTATAAAAAGGTCTGGACTACATAAGATGTTCCTTCTCATTTAAAGAGAAAACTATAGACTTTTATTGGCTGAAATAATAAAAGAGAGGCTGTTTAGGGCTATAAGAACCACAACAAAGGAGTTAAATACAGACTAAATTTACTTTGAGAGTTAACTCGTATACAGCTTGCTTCCCTATTCATGTACATCTCGAACATTTTACTAAAACTTAAAACTGAAACTAAAGATAATCGAGGGAGTTTAAAGTAACTTCCTATCACAGACTGCTCTCATTCATATGAAATCTTTAATTGAAAGAAATAAAGGCGTAATGACCAATTTCCTTACTTGAAAAAGCCATGAGAGCTAAAATTAAAATCCACACACCAACTGGTCAATAAACAAAGGTATATTCAACTGATGAAGTGCCTGATAATGAAAAGAATGAAGGTCTTTATGTACTGACACAACCCAAATGCTAAATGTTAAGTGAAAACTGGATGATACAGGAGTGTACACAGTATACTACCATTCGTATATAAAGGGGGATGGGGCAGAGCGCACATACATATTGGTTTGTATATGGATAGAGTACCTCTGAAAAGACAAAAGAGAAATTGGTAACACTTGGGTGATTGGAGGGTGGGGGCAAAAAAACATGACCTTCTGCTGCATTACATTTTATGTGTTTTGAATTATGGACTATCTAAAAGAATTACTTATTAAAAAATAAAATTGGAAATAAAAAATATAATCCTCTTTTCTTCCATCTTCATCAAGTGTGATCTCTCTTTCCTTTTGACTGCTTTCTTATGGCATATATTCTGCCTTATTAGTCATCATGTCCCCAATAGTTCCTTGAGGGTAGAGAGATATGACAGTGTAATCCATCTTTGGATTTGCTGCAGCTTCTGGCCTAGTGAATTAAAACACAGTAACAATAATAATGATGAATAACTTAAAACATAATAGGAAACATTTGTTGACCACTTGTGACATGCCTAGAGTTTAATATGTACTAACTCATTTAATTCCCACATGTGTCTGAGTTGGATACTGTATACTTAAGATCAAGGAAAATGAGTATAGAGAAGAAATCTGCCCAAGGTTCCACAGCTAGAAGTTAAAATAAAACTTAAAAATAAATTGAATCCCCAAGGAAGTATTTTATAATTACCTGACAACACTAAAAGTAGCTGGCATTATTCTAACAGATAAAGAAACAAAGACTGAGAAAGATCAAGAGGCTTCTTGTAGGTCACAAAATTCCTTGAGGGTAGGCACAGGATAATAGTGGCAACAGCAGGATTCAAACTGGCCTGTGATTCCCAAACCCAATGCTTTCCATTAACTAGATTCTCTACCACAGTAAATGCGAACTATTATTTGAAGTACCATAAAGTGTGTCTCAAGTGATAATGTAGAAATGTGTTCATACCTGAGTAAGAAGAACAAAAATACCCTTTCATTTTCTTTTTCCCATTCTCTGACTACTATATCCTTAAACTCAGATTTGAGCTCTAACTAGTCAATAAAGAAGCCATCACTTGAAGTGACACTATGTATTCAAGATATGCTTGTAAGATTATGTCACAGGCTGGCTATAAACAAGTCCACATAACCATGCCTGATAAGACATTTATAGAATAAATGAAATTACAAATTTCACTGATAAACTGTAAGTGTTAAGATTACAAGAATTTTTTTCTACTGTGTAAATAAAGGAAAATAATTTTTAAAATGAGGTGAAGCAAGGGATAATATACCTGGTTTTACTGTAGCCATATCATATCCCCCAAAATAAAACTCAGTGTCTTAGAATGAAAAATAAAGATACGTCTCTATGAAGAAACAAAAATGTCTATTAATCAGATCTAATCATGAAAATGAATTTCAGAAAGCAGAAAAAAGAGCCATTTTATGAAGTTTCCTTAGGCTCTTTTGTGGGGGAGGAAAAAAAAAAGATTCAAAAGGAGTTACATTGGAGTTTTATATTCCATAAGAAATGCTTTTTAATAGTTTTCAGTTAATTTCTATCAAAGACTCACTGGCTTTCTGAATACACATTCATTAAAAATGTTCAAGCAGATTTAACTGTAATTTCTGCTGATCCCTGGGAGGGGGTAGAAGTATAACTTAGTAACATGTTACAAATGACTATTCTAATATTAATGATTACAAAAGTTTACAAAGTTTCACCTGAGACTGGTAAGAATTAGATTATGAATTTATAATTAAAAAATTAAAAAGACCTTTTAAATAAAAGAAAAAACTATCATAACTTTTTAAAAAAAATCAACAAAGGAAGAGTCATTGGCAGATAGTATCTGTAAGGGAAAAGAATTCTATTCAACTTAGGCTGGTCTGCAGAAAATCCTTAAGGAAAAACAGTAATCTATGGCAACATCAAGACCATAATTTCCTCAGTGTTTGGAAATAAAATCCTCTTCCCAACTCTTAACGGAAAAATACTCTTTAGTTCATCTTCTTAATTAAATTTCTTGGCAATGAAAAATGGCTAATGTGTGTGTGTTTTTTTTTAATACTAGTAATACAGTAAGGAGGTTTTGGAAAAGTGACTTGGATAAAGAAAATCAGAAGACAGTGCTTCTACTATTTATTCCTAACAAGAAACCTTGTATCAATCACCATTCTATCATACCATGAGACAGGGAAGTACTTTAAAAACAACCTTTTGCATCACTTAAAATAACCGTTTTGGCTTTATTTTTAAATCAGGAAATGAATGTAAAAGATTTCAACAACTGGCAACCAAAAGTATTTTATACTAAACCTTTACAAGGCAGAGCTGATGAAAGCTAACGCTTGCATGAAATTTTAACTTCTGAAGAAGGTAAGACAAACTTAAATAGGTCACATCCCATGGTCCTTTAAAAACTGTCTTTTAATTTTTGATGTGTCAATGATTTTTCTGCTGTCCCTTTTCCCCAACAGGAAAAGAAAAAATAAAACCTTGTGACTTAAATTATTGTGGGTCTGGGGCTAGGGTTGCCTACTACGGGCGAGGAAAATAATGGATACTTTTAAATGGCTATTTAGATTTAGGGTTAACCAATCTCGTATTTAAGAAAGATGTGAGAAATATGGTCGGGATGCGAGGGGAGATCCAAAGGACCCAACACCACGGCTGCCCCCCGCCAAGGTGATGTGAAACAAAAGTACGTCGCTAATACTCGTTTCAACGAAGTGTTTCAGAATGATAGCTCTCAAGTGATTACCTTATTGAAAAGGGTTAAAACCGAAACTGTTTTCAAACATCAGCTTCCCTTTTACAAGATCCCAATAGGTTTTTTTTAATTACAAATATATTTTTTCTTAGCACCCCTTTCCTCCCCCAAAGAATGCATTTCCATGACTACTGATTTAGAAGGAAAAAAAAAACAGGGTGAGGGAACGAGTCAAAAAATTATTTTAAAAAGCGCGAGTTCTCATTACCTCATGTAAGCAGAAAAGCACAGAAAACAGCATTTTCCCAATGGGGCGGGAGCGGGGGGAAAGGGCGTGAATAAAATACAGGACGAGAGGAAAACCTTGGGTTTCGAACTTTATTGCACAAAGAGAGGGAGAGGAGAGTAGGTCAGACGGAGCACCGCTTCCCCTCGCTAGGCGGGCATGGCAGACACGAAGGCTACCGGGAAGGCAGGCACCTTCACCTCCTCTGCCCTCAACTGTCGCCTTCTTCTTCCTCCTCCACCCCCCTCGGGCACCCCGGCGGCGCTACCCCGACGGACTGCGGGCCGGGTCGGGGGGCGAGACTGTCGGCGGGGGCCGGGCAGGCGGCGCAGGGGGCAGAGCCGGCCGGGCCGGCGGGCGGCCTCCCCCGGGGCGGCTCCGGGCTCCCGGCTCCGCGCCCGGCCCGGCGGCGGCGGGAACGCGGGCGCCAGCTCGCCGCGGCCGGCCGCCCGCCCGCACACACCCCCGGTCGCCGGCTCCCACCCCGCCCGCCGCCCCGCCGCCCCGCCGCCCCCCGCCATGAGCGCCGCCGCTGGCTGCAGGCAGAGTCGCTGCCGCCCCGGCCGCCGCTGGCTCCAGTCCGCCGCCATTATTCTTTGTTCGCTGCGAGCGGCGGCGATGGTGTGGGGCTCGGGCGGAGGCTCCATCTTTACCGCGGCCCCTCCTGCGAGGGGAAGGCCCCAAGCGCGGGTGTCCGGCGCCTCCCCGTCCCCCCTCCGTCCCCCCGGCTCTCTCCGGCTCCTGCCTCCTCCTCCTGCTCCTCTTACCGGTGGTACAAGCTCCTCCGTCACTGCTTTCGTTCGCGGCCCGGATCTCGCTGGAGTTTTATTCTCTCCCCCACGTAACACACCGCGTCAAACTACACCTCCGCCGCGTCACTCACCAACACTCCGCTTCTCCCAGCCGCCCGGGCCACAGGCAGCAGCAGCCGCCGCCGACTGAGGACTCGCAGCCAGGGAGCCAGCCAGCGCCGCCCAGTGCCGAGTGCGCAGCGGCCGCGCACGGAAACAGCCGAGCTCGGTCCGGAGGAGCTCGAGCTGCCCCGCCCTCCGCGCTGAAGGCGGAAGTTGCCGAAGACCTTCGAGTTCCTTCGGGCGCGGCGGAGGGGTTCCTCCGGGAGAGGGAAAGCGGCGGTGGGCTGGAACCCGGGGGTGGGGAGGTGGGGGGCTCTAAGCACCCCCGCTGCTCTCGCCGCGTATCGACGGTTTAAAACCGGCCGTGGAAATTTGCAGGAAGAATTGGGGTTTGTGTGTGGCGTGGTGGGGAATTCCCGAGAGGTGTGGACGGTTCGATGGAAACCCCCTGTGCAGGCTGCCCTTGCGGCTGTAAGCGGCGGGCTCTAGGGCGGCTGCAGCGTCACGGGCCTGGGCCCCAGAACGCCGCTCTCCCCGGGAACTTTCAAAAGCTGCCGGGACCAGAAAGACGCGCCACCGGGTCGCGGCCCCGGCTGAGCGCGGAAGCCCTGCGGAGCCGGGGAGGAAGGCTTGCTGCAGCTCTGCGGTTTCCCGAGGCCTGGGCCGGACGCTGGGACGCTAGGCCTCGGCGCGGCGCCGGCGCGGCCCGGGGGCGTCGTGGGCCACTGTGGGAAGGGTTTTCCGCCTTTCTGGGCAGGCCGGGAGGCTTCGCTCCGAGAATCCGCAGAGAAACGTGGCGGCCGCCGGTGGGACCATTCAATTTCTGGGGACGGAGGCCTTGGGACTCCGGGTAGCTGGCGGAGTTTAGCCGGGCAGCGAGGACGGCCAGGTCCGTGGGGCACACCTTGGGCCTCCGAGCCCTGCCCTGCCCTGACCGAGGTTGCTTTTTTGTACTTTCGAAATGTCTTCCCCTAATCGCCCCCTACCTGCCCACCTTTTGGAGGGTGGGGTGGGGGGAACCATACTGTATTGCTTTCTTTTTCACAGCCAGTTTTCTACTGCAGCCGCTGCCCCGTTTTCTTCATCTACTTCCCCATCCGAACCCTCAGTGCGACATCCGTTGCCTGGAAGCAGCTGGTCTTGCCCCCTCAGAGGTCACCCGAGAGTCAATGCTGACTTTATCATTATCCGTTTTATTTATCTCGGCAGTGCTCTCTCCCGGGCTTTCAGGTCTGTTGTAATTCACTCTCAGTCGCTTAAAGCTCTGAAGAAGGAAATGGCAAGCCACTCCAATATTCTTGCCTGGAGAATCCCATGGATGGAGGAGTCTGGCGGGCAACGAGTCCATGGGCTTGCAAAGAGTCGGACACGAGTGAAGCAACTTAGCAGGCACACTTACCGCAAATGTGTCTTTTGAAGCGGAGAGGGTCCAAGTCAGCTCCGCCCCATACTGACTTCCTGTTGAAAGAGTTCCCTCGTCCCGTGCTCTAGCCTAGTACTGTAGATCTCCTCCTGCTTTCTCTTCGGCTGAAGAATAACCTCCTTTCCTTCCGTTATTTTCAACTTTCTTCCGCTACCGGCGTTTCTGTCTAGTATTTAAACAGCCTTAAGTCTCTCTCCCCTGGAAAAGGAAATGGCAGCCCGCTCCAGTACTCTTGCCTGGATAATCCCATGGACAGAAACCCGGCAGGCTACAGTCCATGGGGTCACAAGAGTAGGTCGCGACTTAGGGACTAAACTACCACCAAGTCTCTCACGTCTAGATTTCTGTCTTTAAGTCCCTCTCCATCTCTTACCACGTAGACATTCTTTCATGACTCACCCCTCAGCCCTGTCTAGTCTAGTTTCTGTTCTTACCACGCACCTGGAGCAGCTCTGAATTGTCACAGACAAGCTTCAGGCCTCTGCTTACAAGACCTTGTTCTGGCATCTTACACTATTGCCCACACCCTTATCCACATATGCTCTTGTCTTCCGCTCTTGCTTTCCTCTTAACTCTGGTTGTTCTTTAACAACCGGCTTCTCCTCCTTTAGCCAGCTGTTAAATACTGGAAGCCTGTTGAGCTTCACCCGCTTCTGGAGTCCCACCTATGCGCTTTCCTAGGTGGTCTCATCCTCTTCTCTTCCCTTCAGATACCATACGCCAAAGACTCCAGCTCAAAGCTCAAGCCTAGATCTTGCTCTTGAACTCTAGATTCATATTTCCAAGTGCCTTTGCTACACTTTCATCTGGATGACTTGGGTGTGCCAAACCCCTCTTCCTATAGCCCCTGGTTCAGTAAAGGAAATGCTATCCATCTACTCAGTTCAGAAACCTAAGACACCTCCAACACACATCAGAATCCCCTAGACCTGCCTTGAAAAAATAGGAATTTGTGGCTTCTCTCTGTTCTTAACGACCACTTTTCCATCCCACTGTAAGCTAACTTCACCTCTTGCTGGAAGTTCTGCAGTAACTGCCAGCTAGGTCCTACAAAACTGGTCTTGGCTCATTCCAATCCATTTGCCATACTGCAGCCAGAGTAATTTTTAACAAATACAGATCTGATCAAGTTGCTACCCTGTTGAATTCCTTAAGCCCTTCCCTTTGTTTACTGAACACAATCTGAGTCCTTATCGCAAAGGCCAGGCCCTCCATTATCCAGGCTTGTGTTCTCAGCCTCCCCAGTGATTTCTCTAGCTATCTGCACTCCAGCCATGTTAGTCTTTTATTTTTCCAGGCTCTTTTCTCTTGTTCTCTACTGTAGGTTCTCACCTCGAGGTATTTATACATGCTATTCCCTTTTCTTGAAATTCTTTCCTGTCACCCACTCCTCCTACCTACCTGTAACTTAGCACTTCCTTGATTCATGATTCTTGGAATTATTTGTTTACTGTTCATGTGAGTCTGTGCAGGTAGTGACCAAGTGCGCCTTGTTTGCCCCCAGAATTTCTCTCCTCCCATCCTCGGCACAATGCAGTGGTGTTCATTAAGTATTTATTGAACAAATAATATCTCTGTGGTCATGGCAAAATTTCTAACTGTTTTAGGATTCAAATCCTGGTTCAGCTGTGTGACTTTGGGCATGGTCTTCCCTCGTGCACCTCAGTTTTCCCATCTGTGAAGTGAAGATGATAGTAGCTACTACATCATAGTGTTCTTATGATAATTAAATGAGATCATTCATGGAAAGTTGTGCTTGGCACAATGACATGTAACAAGTGTCAATTAAAATGTTTCCCATTATTAGATTTATTTATATATCTCATCTTTGTGTCAATACACTTTCAAAATGTAGCTTATCTCCTTGCTCTTCTTACCCTGGCCCTATACATGATACCAAAATATTGGAATTATTTGGGAATTCCCAGGTGGCTCAGATGGTAAAGTATCTGCCTGCAATGCAGGAGACCTGGGTTCGATCCCTGGGTCCAGAAGATCCCTTGGAGAAAGGAATGGCAACCCACTCCAGTATTCTTGCCTGGAGAATCCCATGGACAGAGAAGCCTGGCAGGCGACAGTCCATGGGATCATAAAGAGTTACTCATAGCCTATACTTAGCACTCACCAAATATGGTAATTTTTAATTTTAAAGTTTCTCTACATTCTCCTTTTCTGTTTGCACTGTGAGCTCACTTAGGCCCTACTTCTTCATGTCTTAGTTGCTTTGCTAGCTTCCTCGGTGCTTTTTAACTGCAGGCCCACTTGCCTGATCCACCTTTGCCCTGTGGTCAGATCAGTGAGCCTCCAACAGTCATTCAGTCGTATTTTGTCCTTGATGTTGGCTCCCCTGACTTCTGTTCTTACCTGACCTCATTAATTCACTTATTCATTCAGTCATTCAAATGCATGTTATTTTGCTAAACACTTTGGATATGCTTCAGATTTGAAATGTAGTCTTCTAATTTCATGTATTTGCATATCCATAAACCATAGAAATGAACTAGAATCATCCAACTTTAGCATTCATTTTTATCTCTGGGACGTAAAAGCTACTCCTATTTTTTACTTAATTTTTCAATTGGAAAACAGGGTTAATGTTGGGGAGATGAAAGAGAACAGTACATGGGTGGAAGTGGACTTAGTATAAAGTAGATGAGATGGAAAAGGGGAAAGGTCTCATGAGGTGATTGTAAAAGGTTTCAAGGAGAAAGTGGTATCTGAGCACTTTTTTTCTAACCACCGCTTCCTTTTCCTGTTATTTTACTCTTTTGCTTCCGCTGTTGAACCTAATTTTTACCCTCACTGTGAACTCAAGTTCCATGAACCCTGCCTGTTTTAATTCATCTCTCGTGACTTAGTTTTTCTACCTAACCCGAGGGCCATGGTGACCTATTTTGTTTATTCTCAAAATACCTGTTGAGCACCTACTTTGTGCCCTGTACTACAAAACTGGAGCTATAGCCATGAATAAAAGGTTGTTTCTGCTCTCAAAGATACTGCTTTCAAAGATACTAGAATAAAATCTTCAACTTTTCCAGCACCTGTTATTTATCTTTTTTGTTCACTCCTTTATGCCCTCATCCTGCCTTGTGATTGTAAATACAATGCCCATGCTGATTAACTCTCAAAATTATATCTTTTTCCCAAATCACTCTCCCAAACTCCAGAATCATTTAAACAGCTATCCATTTATGCCTTCACTGTCTTAACATGTCTAACACTGTTGTCTTAGCCTTGGTTCTCCCAGAAATAGAGGCTTCTGTGCTCTTATCTTACTAGGGAGTACAGTCCTGGGGAAATGAGGGTAGCGAAAAGAAGGGAGTCAGGAGAGAAGGTTAAGATTCAGTCAGAAGATGCTAACACTGCCCTCCTCTGGAACATGTGCACACTTAGGTTTTGTGTGGGCACCAGGCAGACCTTTGTGTGAGATGTGTGGCCTGAGCATGAGGCAAAGCACTATTGGGTGGTTACTGCCTGAGGTTGGGTGGCCATGGCAATAGGGACAAAATAAGTTGCAAATTGTCCCACAGGCAAGAAGGCCAAGAGGATCCTAGGTGCTATAGAGGTGTCTAATAGACATCTCAAGCTCAATCTGTCCAACACTGAGCTGATTTCCCCCCTCACATCTGCACCTGCAGCATTTTCCATCTTAGTTGCTGAGGTTAGAAATCTTGGGATGATTCTTAAAACCTTCTTTTCTCTCTTATTCCACATCTATTCTAGTAGGTAATTCTATTGGCTGTGCCTTCAAAATACAGCCAAAAACTGACTACTACCTCCTCTGCAGGTGCAGGGGACGTGGATCTGCAGCACCTTCATCTCTTGCCTGGATTACTGCGATTGCTTCTTAAGAAGTTTCCCTACCTCTCCCACTGCCACACAGCAGCTACGCTTCTACCTTAGCACCTTGGGTCTGTTTCAGTACTTAAAATGATAGCTGACTCCCTCACCTCCTTCACTTTCTCACTGAGGCCTTGCTCATACTATTTAAAATTACAATTTGACACCTACCTCAGCTGCCCCTATTTTTCCCTATAGCAGTCATTATCTTCAGATATACTGTGTGTTTTACTACTTTTTATGTTCATTGTTTACTGGTTCCCCTGCTAATATACACATCCTAAATAGGAGTGGCTTTGTTTTGTTCACTGACGTATCTCAAACACTTGAACCATTGTTGTGGTTTAGTCTGACTCTTTTGTGACCATATGAACTGTAGCCCTCCAGGCTCCTCTGTCCCTGGAATTTCCCAGGCAAGAATACTGGAGTGAGTTGCCATTGCCTTCTCCAGAAGATCTTCCTGACCCAGAGATTGAACCCATGTCTCCTGCATTGGTAGGTGGATTTGTGAGCCACCAGAGAAGCCCATCTATAACAGAAAAAAGAAATGACCTAAATGTCCCCATACTAAGCTGTTAACTATTTTAATTC